TGTTTCACTGATCACACAGAGCAGATCAGAGAATGGACGTTCTCTGGTCTGCTCCCTGCTTTCCACCCTGAAGTCATTTTCCGTGGTCCCGGGTCCCCCAGAAAAGTGGGGGACCCTGAAAACTACGGCGGGGACCAGTAGGCTGCTACAAATACTTAAAAAAAAAAAAAAAGATACAATAAGCCTGAACTCATAGCAGCTCTCTAACAGACAGGGGATGGAAGAGATACAAAAAGTCTGAAATCACATCAGCTCTCCTGCAGACAGGGGGTGGATGAGATACAATAAGCCTGAACTCATAGCAAGTCTCCTACAGACATGGGGTGGACAAGATACAATAAGCCTGAACTCATAGCAAGTCTCCTACAGACATGGGGTGGACAAGATACAATAAGCCTGAACTCATAGCAAGTCTCCTACAGACATGGGGTGGACAAGATACAATAAGCTTGAACTCATGGTAGCTCTCCTACAGACAGAGGGTGGGCGAGATACAATAAGCCTGAACTCATAGCAGCTCTCCTACAGACAGGGGATGGACGAGATACAATAAGTCTGAAATCACATCAGCTCTCCTACAAACAGGGGGTGGGCGAGATACAATAAGCTTGAAATCACATCAGCTTTTCTACAGACAGGAGGGAGGACAAAATACAATAAACCTGAACTCAAAGCAGCTCTCCTACAGACAGGTGGTGGACAAAATGCAATAAGTTGTGCCTGTGGTGATATTTTTGTTAATAGTGCCCCACACCGGGCAAAAAAGAGGCACATTCTTGCAGGTCCAAAAAGGCATGACAAATGCATGAAAACATGCAGTCAAAAACGTAAACCTCAAACAGCTGCATGCGCTTCTTTGCCACGTTTGTTGCGCATTGTTTTAGTAAACTCTCTCCCCACCATTGCACCTGTCAACAGACAGTGGGTAGACAAGTCCGGACATAGCTCCATCAACCATGAAGAGAGAGATGGAGAGCAGTAGGCAGGCTAGAAGGTTTTGTTGTGCAGATCACATTATCTAAGAAACCTGCTGCCTATACCAGCAAATGCTCACTAACTTAAAGCCATTCCATTGAATACATAAGTGGATCATGTTATTTCCCCCAGCAGCCTGCCATGTAAGTCCTGTCTATACACTCACATACTGACATTTCATCTCTGCATTATCATACACCTACCAGATCGTCAGACGGAAGAACATCAGCTGCACCATCATCTTATTTTGTTTTTCCCTCCATTCACTTACAGTATTAGTTTCCTCTATTAGCCAACATTCAGCTTCTTCCTGCTACCCGCGTAGCTCCTCCTACAGGAAGCCACGGCGGCCATCTTGGATGAGGGAACTCATACATTCTTAACTAGCTCGAATAATCCTATAGCTATTTTTCTTTTTTTGTCTGAGAGTAGGAATTTGTGTTTTCCTTCTGTTTCATATAACATAGTCTATTAAAAGAAATCATACTGCTTACAGCTGATAGTTGTTTTTAAAGTATGTAGGCATACCTCCCAAATTAGTGAGATGAGAGCCAGGGACACCTTCCTGCACAATGAGGGGAATTTATCAAAACTGGAGCGGACAGAATCTGAAACAGGTGTCCATAGTAATCAATCATCTTCTCTCTTCAGTTTCAATCTTCTTCTTCTTAACTGATGTTTTCACCTCTCTCTCCAGCGGTGCGCCAGCTCTCTTATCCAGCACTGACTCCTCTGTCCATGCAGGCACTTCCGATCCAGCGGTGTCTGCATGCGGGTGCACGCATCCATAGACTTACCTTGCGTCTCTGCTCGTCTCCCGGCCGAGAATCCGAACTGCGCATGCACCCGATCCAAGATTCTTTGTGGCCGCACGAGCAGTTCTGGATTCTCGGCGCGGAAGCGTGCAGCGATAACGAGGTAAGTTTAAACCTCGTTTAAACGATGTCCCCATCGGCATGGGGACAAGGTGCTTTTCCAGGGGCGACTCTGGAAAAGCACCCTCCCAGTGCTGAGGGCATGTGGCCTGGGATCGCAGGGAGGGGGGCCCTGCCAGGCCTGTGCTCGGATCAAGGGTCTAGTATGGAATTTCAGGGGGGATCTCACATTTTTTTCCCCATTTTTGGGGGTGGGGTACCTCCTTAAAATTCCTACCAGATCTTAAGAGCCTGCTATGACTTTAAGGGGGAACCCCACACACTTTTTTTTTTTTTTTACATGGGGTTCCTCCTAAAATTCCTACCAGACCTTAAGGGTCTGGTATGACTTTTGGGGGGAACCCTACGCTTTTTTTTTTAATGGGGTCCCTCCTAACATTCCTACCAGATCTAAAGGGTCTAGTATTGTTTGAAAAGGGGAACCGCACAATTTTTTTTTCTTTTTAAATGTCATTGTTTTCTTTAGTAATGTCAGTTTTGCTACAGCAGGTTCTATACATTGTACAGATCCGCCACTTTACAGGCAGTTTAAGGGGACCCCCCAGGCACGATATTTAAAGGCATTTTTCATCTTTATTGTTTCACTTTAAATGTGATGTTAAAATCACTGCTCCTTTAAAATTTTTATTTTTTAAGTGTTTTTTTTTCATTGATTCATGTCCCCCAGGGCAGTACCCGGATCCCCATACACTTTTTATGGCCAATAACTTGCAAAGTTACAAAGTTCTACCCCCATAGACTTGCATTGAGTTCGAGGTGGAATTTGAACCTCTTCTCATGTTCTCAAGTTCGAATTCGAACCAAACACGGGGGAGGGAGGGGCAAAGGGCGGGGGTGTTTGGCTCATCACTAGTGACGATTTATCAGACAGGAAGATAGAGAAAATCCACAACAGGGACACTAAATGACTTGGTCACACTAGCCCATGTGTTATACACCATACAACTGGTGTGCTAATGTACACTGTGAAGGACAATGGGATGCTTTGTTTACCTTTTAACTTATTAAAGTGTCATTCAACTCTATGCACACTGACAAGTGGTGCCGTGGGTGCAGCACATGTACTGTGTGAACAGGGAACAAAAAACACATTTGGCCTTCCGTTGATCTATGCAGATCAACTCAATAGACATGGCGAAACCTGAAGCTCTCTTTACTATTATGCAATGCACGAGTGCTTGCGATTGCCACATGTAGTTCCGTATCGCATTTTGCAATGTTAGGTGCACTGCGATCCTTTATTTCTTAAAGTGATATTGAAGGCAAAAGGTTTTTAAGCTATTTCAAATGCTGACCACATCACTTACAATGGATGCTTCTTCTACAAGTTTAAAAGTTTTAGCTTCATGCAGAAGGGCATTGGCCCTAAAATATCCTGTTTTAGGGTGGATCATTTCTCTTGCAGGGTCCTATGGAGCCACCCTTGTGTGTGCTAGTAAGCACAACAGGACAAGTCACTCTCCTCTTCCTTGCTCCCCATTTATTCTTCCTCCCTTCTCTAAGCCATTACCCTGCTCCTCCAAGCTAATACATGGACAGCTGCTGGAGACTGTGCTCTACCTTGTGATCTTGAACTAGACAGGAAGTTCAGAGAAGTGGAGCTGAGAGAGTTTGAGTCATCTGTTTGGAATCATGATGACTGTAAGTGCTTGGGCAAAATGTGTAAAGAAATACTTAGCTGGACCATGTATATTAGTTTGATCCGGATTCGTTATTGAAAAAAGAAACTCTGTCTAATACCACTTTAATAGCACTCCAATGTACCTAGCCATCTCATGTGTGTTGTATGGCACCACATCACATGGTAACCCATTACCATGCAAGGTGTGAACGAGGGCTGACAGATTTTTCCTCACTTCCTGTCTGCTGTAACGTTGTTTGTCTCCAGTATAGGAAAGGAGGGGAAATCCCTGGGTGCCCATACACCTTACAATTATCTGGAGATTTTTGTCTGCGATTGCGTTTTCGTCAGAAAATCTGCCAGTCGGTTGGGAAGTGCACAACCTCAATTATTGTACAACTGGCAGATGTTTGTCTTTCAAGCAGGCTAGAAAACCTTTGTCTAATTGGACAAAAATTGACAGGTTAGTGGCGTTGTTGTACAACAAAAATCTAATTTCGATCGATAAAATTCGGGCAGTTAGTGATGCTGACGAGCGTTAATTGCGAACTACATTGGTCTGTGCATGATGGGCAAGTTGTAAAAAAATTGAACGAGGGTGAGATGCCTGGACAAAAAAAGTTGTATAATGGTTGTAAGGTGTATGGCCACTTTAACAGAGCCCTGGACAGCAGGAAAAACCAGGGAGGGCTGCTCATGCTTTACCACTCTCTGTAACGCTAAATCAAAACTTTTCGATCAGTTTTGTGTTCGGTTTTCTATGGCTTAAAAGGGGTTACCTCTAGTACCCATCCATTGGAGTCAAAGATAAGCTCCGGGCACAAGCACTTAATTTACATATAGTCCTCAATAGCCATAAACGGTATAAATCCAATTTGTGTGCCATTGCAACACCAGATATTACATTGTAAATATTACAGTGAAATCATCACTATACAGCACATAGTCTGTACCGTCAGCAAAGCTGTGGGAGGGGCCTATAGAGCCAACTCACTACAAAGTGGGCCGATACAAGACTAGTCTTCCTGAACAAGGAGAAAGAACAGCAGTGATGGTCTTCATTACAAGAAGCTCATGTACAAAGTTTCACACAGTCAGAAACAAATACACAAAGCACACCAAGATTCAAGAACGAAGCTACATGGCTCTTTTATTTAAACAATATTTGCTTATTCCAGAGTTCAGGTTTTAAACTCCTCCACTCTAGTCAGATTCTAGATTTTCAGTAAGAAGCGCATTGTGTAGTAACCCATAACAACCAATCTGACTTTTCACAAGCGGGCTACTGTCCTGAATAAGAGGCATAAGAATGTGTACACGTCCTATTCCTGGCACCGCGCCAGCTTCCAGCATGGCCGACAGCGTCCCTCTACTAAAAAGGCGTACCGACGTGCGCACACGTGTGGGCGGAGCCTCTGCAGCCGCACCTACTATAACTTGACATAGGGGGCGGGCCAATGAGCATGGGCGTGGTCCCTTCCAAAGATGTCAGCCTAGCTTCCACGCCTTCATTCGGGGTTCTGACGTCAATGAAGGAAGATGGCGGCTATTTGAGTAGGGCAGTTGGTCGCAGCGATCCGCCGCCTGTTTATTTACATCCGGGTCTCTCACGAGTGGGGTGGGCTCCGAGCAGTGGCCAGCAGCAGCAGCCCGGAATCTCGGGGAAGGCAGCGCGTCACTTCGTGTCAGGAGGCAGCCGGCGGAGTCTGGGGCTCCCGCTCATGTCGGATAATCAGAGCTGGAACTCCTCGGGCTCAGAGGAAGACCTGGAGACCGAGTCCGGGCCGCCCGTGGAGCTCTGCGGAGTCCTCTCGAAGGTGAGTGAATGAGCGGCTGCCGGCTGGGAGGCGAGGTCACGTGACTATCTCCTGGTGGGCAACTGGTGACTTGTGGATGGAGGTGTCAGTGTATGCCGGGCTGTGCCTGCCCATCACATGACTTGCAGGTGGCATGGTTCTGTGCCAAGGTGAAAGCCACACATTGCTGTACCACACTCAAGATTCTTTGTCCAGGGCCACATTAATCTTTGCTACATCCCCTTCACACACCGTACTGATGTACCCCGGAATCCAACTGGTGAATGGTGCCACAGTATACAATCTAGAAGATATGTTGTCCGCATCCCATTCTGCTTTGGAATGTCATCTTTATTCGTATTCCTTTTAGCATGATGTGTGAACGCAACATTTCGGAGCCTCACAGGACCCCTTCGTCAGGCAAAGCGTCGGGGGCCGCATTAGGGCTCATGTGCACGGGTCTAATTAATGCTGCGTTCATGCCCGTACATTGTGTAGTTTTATGAGCCTAAATGCAGCGGTGTTGTATCTCACGGGCCCTGGTGCAGTAATCTTGTCCCGCATTCAGCTGCGTTAGGCTCTGGTAGAGAATTCTGCGTCTGTGCTCCAGTATATCTGCACAATTTCCGTGCGTGTGTATATCTGCCACGTTTGAAAACTAAGCTAGAGAATTTCACGCATGGTCGTGTCTTTTTATGCTCCTAAATACGTGTGAACAGAAGCCCTTTGCGGACTGTTACAATCTTTATTTTCCGCAGGATCTTTCTGTGAACAGCCCCTAACCTCCTTATCCGCTAACATAGGGTGTGCCAGCAGCTGTGCTTTAACTACAAATCCCATCATGTCTCTGGGAGTCATGACTCTGTCTTGCAATGCCTCATGGGACTTGTAGTCCCACAACAGCTGGAGAGATGGGATGGAGTTCCCCTTACCGATCTAACACATGCATGTGATGGCAAGAAAGTGGGCTTTAAAGACTGGCCACCACATGTATGCATCTGCTTTTGCAGCACGGTGACTGAGCTGTCATGACAATTCTTGGTCACTGCTTACTATTGGGAGGCGGGGATAGGTTCCTGATCATGTGATCATTATATTGGGCAGTCACAGCGATCACATGATTGGTAGCTTGAATCATTATACGCTGAAGATGTCGGCTCCATTCACTAGGGCGATTTCTCCTTCTATATAACACGTTTTGGATAGAAAAAAAAAGGATCTGGGAAGTATAAATCAGCTTTACACTTCCCAGGGCAAGTTCATCTGCATTGAAATTAGGGATGCACCATTTAACAGTATTTCAGTACTCGCCGATATTGATTACCGGAAGCCCTATGAAAGAAGCCTGGCGGTGTGTAATGACTTGCCACCCGGCTTCCCAATTAGCCAGGAAGCTGTCTCCATGATCCCTTGTCACCAGGTGATGAGGAAGCATGCAGCTGGCTTTCTGGCCAATCATTAAGCCGTGGGGTGGTTAATGACTCTCCACCCAGTTTCCTGATTGGCCAGTTTCCTGACCAATCAGGAAGCCAGGCAGTGAGTCACTAAACGCTGCCCAGCTTCCTGATGGGCCTTGAAGCTGGCTCCATGCTCCCTCGACACCAAGCAACGGCTTCCCAGGCAATCAGGAATCCGGGTGGCAAGTCATTACCCGCTTCCTGATTGGCTGGGAAGCCAGCTCCCTGGTGATGAGGGAGCATGTAGCTGGCTTCCTGATACTGAAAGTTCCGCTATCAGGATAGGCATCAGGAGCATTTGAGTGAGTACAAGTACTCATCCAAATACTTGGTATTGGCACTGATGCTAGTATCAGTGTTACTGAATGCCTGTACTGAGGTAAGGAAGAATCTGCAGGAGCCATAGCGTTGCACCCGCCGTCCACTGATAGCACTAGTGCCATTGAGAACTACAAGTCCCTCTGCTGCAGTGGCAGATGGGACTTGTAGCTTGCGGCTGTGTGGCTGGAGCCACGCCGAGTTAAAAAGCCGGTTGGCAGAAGAACCTGGCAATTCAGGTAAGCGGGGTGGGTCGCATGTTCACCCTGTTTCGTGTTCAACCCAAATATGGGTTTAATGTGAACCATGGACAGAAAGGTAAACATAGCAGAGGAGCTTTACCCATATCTTCAAACACATGCCTTTCGATACTTGCCGCCTTTTTGCATACCACATTTTTTTTCTTGCCCAGTCTTCTGACAGTGGCTATTTTTTTTACTAAGGGCAGAAGAATCCATCTCCCTTTACTTCCTGGAACTCTGGCACATGTGACTAGGACATGTGACCATGCACATCATCTCAGGGGAGGAAAATGCCTTTCCCTGAGGTCTCGTGAGATGACAGATGCCATTTCCCAGCAATGCTCTGCTGATGTAACCTTCCCAGGATGCAACACTTGTGCTCATTACATCACTTGTGCTAATATATGTACCAAGAAGTAGAACAACTGGCATTGTATGTAAAATAAAACTTTGTTGTCTAATGAGTGTAACATGGTTTTATATCGGCATGCTGAGGTGATTTTCAGTGACGGGGGGTAAAGGTCCACTTTATATCTTAAAAATACATTCAGTTACCCCAACTTTTAACAGTAATGTACCTTATTTGTGTATCACTCGGCTGTAGATCCTCAAATAATCTCTGAATTGGTGCTGACGCTGATCCTTCCTTCTGGAGGGGGGCTACTGGGAGCAGTGTCTACTTTACAACACACACAGGGACCATGGGGAACAAAAGTAGCCCCCCTCCAGAAGGAAGGACAGTGTCAGCGCCAATTCAGAGGTGATTTGAGGATTTACAGCCGAGTGATACAATAAATAAAATACATTTTTATTAATAGTTAAATGGTTTCTAAACCCTCACGTTATTTTGCATAAATCTACGGCTAGCAAGCAGTAGATGTATGCAAAAAGTAAAAAAACAAACGCTTTAAAAGCGGTTTATACTTAACGGTGTCTTCGCCGCGCGCTCCCGTCCGAAAATGCTCAGGCGGCCGCAAAGCATCTTGGGGCGGGCGCATGCGTAGTTCGGAATTTCTGCCGGGAGACGAGGAGAGACACAAGGTAAGTCTATGGACGCGCGTACACCCGCATGCAGACACCATGGGACAGGAAGTGCCAGCAAGGACAGAGGAGTCAGCGCTGGATCGGAGACCCGCAGTAACGCTGGAGAGACAGATGAAAAGGACAGGAAAGAAGATGATCGGATTAAGAGACATCATTTAAGGTAAGTGCTGACACTAACATTGGGGGAAGGGAAAAAGTTTTTGACTTTAATGTCACTTTAAGACACTTGAATGTATTTTTAAGATTGAACTCCTGAGTTTAGTGTCACTTTAATGAAGCAGCTGAAATTTGCTCAGTGGTTGCCCCTATCTGCTGCCTCGCACCCGACATCCTTTGATTGAAAAAGTGAAGGAGCTGGACAGAAAACTGTCACATGATCAGCACCTGTCTCCAGTCAGCGTTTGCATCTCCTGATCTATTGATAGGTGGAAAAAACCACTGCGTTCAGGTCTGTGCGGTTTTATTGTTTACAGATCTGAACGCAGCAGTATTGTATATTACGGACAGTGGACACAGCCGCACTCCTTAATATTTTACTGCGTTCAACTTCAAAATCCAAATAAAATATAAGAAATCCTTTGTACGTAATCCGTATTTCTGCGTAACATACACGTGTACGAATGTGAACGCATGTACATGCTTGGACTGGAAACTGAGTTAACAGAATGGATGAAGACATTTACAGATGTGAACATTTCATGGATGTTTACACGTCTGAACACTGAAGTGAATTAGATAGATAGATAGATAGATAGATAGATCTATATATAGATCTATAGATACATACATACGTTTTATACACAGGATCGTTTTGCTAGCAAGGCTCTGCATAGATCTCTGTATTTTTATTACATTCATGTGCATGAGTCCTAAAGGTTTAGGCTATCTGTCCCTCTTTCTCATGTATTTCTGAAAGCTGGCATGTCCTCTAATGCAGGCCATAGTTCAGCAATGCAAAATAAACATCATGGTTGGGAAAACCTCCCCGGCGGGCTATTGTATTCTGACAGCTGACACCCGCTGCTGTCTGAATACTTGAACAGTGACTCCAGCTGATTGGCTATAGTCAATGTTGAGCCTCAACAATTCAACTTTTGCAGGATGTATAGCCACCTTAGGTTGTTATATACCTGCCTGTTATACATCTGCCTACCCCAACCTGTCCGTCTAGCTCCCACTCTGACTGCCTTTAGGCGATCCCTTAAGACTCATCTATTCAGGGAAACCTATCGCACCTCAACCTGACCATTGAACTATCACATTCTCAAACAATTCATCCCCACACAGCTCCCTCATGTATCACTTCCCCCCACCCTTTAGATTGTAAGCTCTCACGAGCAGGGCCCTCCTTGCCATCTTGTCTTGAATTGTATTATAATTGTAATGTCTTCCTTATATTGTAAAGCGCTGCGCAAACTGTTGGCACTATATAAATCCTGTATAGTAATGTTTACCGGGGTAGCCAACCTTGGCCCTCCCTGCTTTTGTGGAACTTAAAGACCTATGAGGCATTGCAAGATGGGCATGATGGGATTTGTTGTTTTCCAACAGCTGGAGGGCCAAAGTTTGATGTATAGAATGGAGGATAAGATAGCAGATCTCCTTGGCGATGGCAACTACACACTTCTGTAGGACTTTCTCATGTGTTGTATCCTCTGAGTGCAGTGTGATGTCCAAGAATTGTAACTCTTATGGCAAAGTACAGCTTGTAGGATTATTTCCATGATTTGTGTGTGAAAGGTTTTTATAGACCTGGATATTTTTCCTGTGTAATATATGTGAGTGGATCGGCACATTTTCTGTTTAGCCATAGAGAAGTGACTGATGGAATTTAGTTGGCTTCAATTCGGCCTGTTTTCCTTTCTGCTCGTTCCAGAGATCACAGCTACAAGTTTTCATTGTGGATGTTCAATGAATCAGAACAGGTTGTGCAGATTGTGAAATGTCATCTATTAAAACC